TGGAGTAAATTACATTCCATGTATGCATGTCTTTGTTAAAAAGAACACCACCTCTACGTATAACTATAATGCTCTAATAAAAATTTAAACAATAGAGAAAGAAAAACAAACAAAAAAGAACAAATTGGTTTTTTTTTCCAGTAATGGGTTTTAAATCCAGGGTTTTTTTTTGTTGTTGTTATTGTTTTAACCACTGAGTTACACCTCCAGCCCTTTTTATTTTTTGAGAAGGGGTTTCACTAAATTGCCTAGGAATTTGTGATCCTCCTGCCTCAGCCTCCTGAGTTGCTGGAATTAGTCATGAGCTGCCACACTTAGTTGAATAGGGTTTGTGGAGAGATGGAGAAAAAGGACTTAGATCTAAGTGGAAAAATGCAGTGAGCATACAGAAACACAACTCATTTTCATGAAATGGGAATGAGGTAGTTGTGTTAGTCAGCGTTTTCACTGCTGTGACTAAAGGACCTGACCAGCACAATAATAGAGGAGGAAGTTTATTTGAGGGTGCACAGTTTCAGAGTAGTCCATAGAAATCCAGTTCCAGGGTTGGGGATGTGGCTCAAGCAGTAGCGCACAGGCCTGGCATCCAGGCGGCCTGGGTTTGATCCTCAGTACCACATACAAATAAAGATGTTGTGTCCATCGAAAACTAAAAAAATAAATATTAAAAAATTCTCTCTCTCTTTCTCTCTCTTAAAAAAAGAAAAAAGAAATCTAGTTCCATTCCTCAGGGCTTGAGGTGAGACTGAACATCAAGATGGGAGAGGGTGGTAGAGGGAAGCAGCTCATCCCATGGTGATCAGAAAACAGGGAGTTTTTACTCTCCAGATGCAAAAAATACACCCCAAAGCCATACCTGCAAAGTCTTACCTCCTCCAGCCACACCCTACCACTTCAGTTACCAGTCAGTTAATCCCTGTCAGAGGATTTATTTACTGATTGGGTTAAGACTCTTATAACCCAATAATTTCTCCTCTGAACCTTCTTGCATTGTCTCACATGTGAGCTTTTAGGGGACACCTCACATCCAAACCATAACAGTATTCTGATACACCCTGGTATATGAAGTAGAATAAAGGAGATTGGGATCAAAATACAGAGGTCATTTTGAGAACCAACCCTAGGCTGAGTCTGGTCATCATTCAAAGATAGTGGGGAGCTGTTCGGGTTTTGAGCTGGAAAAGAGCTGGTGCATTGACAGAGGCAGGTGTATTGGCAGAGGCAAGAGCATGGTGAGTTCAAAACCAGCCTCATCAATTTAGCAAGGTGCTAAGCAACTCAGTGAGACCCTGTCCCTAAATAAAATACAAAATAGGGCTGGGGGTGTGGCTCATAGTAACAAGATTAACTGGACAGCAGTATGTAGGGCAGAGTGGAGTGGAAAGAAATATACAGCAGCCAGGGAGCTGGAAATATGAAAATAGAGTTTATGCCCGATGTGGTAGTATGGGTCTGTAATTTCAGCTACTTCAGAGACTGAGGCAGGAGTCTTGCTTCAGCCAAGGGTTGGAGGCCAGCCTATGCAACACAGCAAGACTCCATGAAGTAGAAGGGGGTGGGGGACGAAGATGAAGACAAAAACAAAGAAGGAGAGACACAGATATGAAAATCGTCACAATAGTGTAATATTGAAATGTGAGGGCATATTGAGAAAATGTTTTAAGTATATTATTAGTTACAGTGTTCAGTTCTCCTCCACTCCTCCTCTCCCCAGGACTGTGAGCTCTTCAGGGGAGGAACTATGTATGTCTCATTCCTATTTGTTTTCTCAGTGCTGGGCATAGTGCCTGACACAAGCTCAGTAAATATCTGTTGAGGAAAAGGGATATGCAGAGAAAAGAGAAAACGTTTTTCTCAGAGAGGTGGTAAGAGCAAAATGCATGATGGTACTGAAAAAGTTTTATATAATAGAGAATGGATGGACTCTTCATTGGATAGCTTTAAATCTTTTCAGAAAAGTATCGGATGAGCTTCAGAGCATCACATGATTGAGGAGGGGTTAAAGGCTTAGAGTGAAACAATTTAGACAGCTGCAGCCAGAAATGTGCTTGGGAGACTCCCATATGCTTGCATGTCTTTTTTTTTTTTTTTTTTTTAGTGCTGTTCTATGTATCTGGAATGCTCCCTCAGCCCTTTTCTTCCTGCCTCTTGTCTTTTATTTAGTCTGCTCATCTGTCAAAGCCTGATTCAAATACCAATTTTTCTGGGCCAGTCTCCCTGATATTATTTCAAGTAAATCATTTCTTGTTTTTTCTTTTTTCTATGTTTATATTTCTCTTCTTATTAAGCCCGCTTGATTATAAGTTACTTGGAAGAGGGTTTTACTCATCTGACTTCCTCCTGACCCAAAGGAAGATCTCCATGTTTGCTGCCGGTTAAGTCAAACAGGTTTACGGATAGGATTGCTGAATGGCAGAGAGGACAAAGATGAAATTATGTGGCTGAAGTTTTGATGGATTAGATTAGCATGGCTTCTGTAACTAACAGGAGTGATAAACTAAGAAAATTCAGGAAAAGTTTACAAAAGTAGAGGCCGACAACAAGTTTCAAGGTTTTTTTGTTTGTTTGTTTTAGTTTGTTTCCTGGTTGGAGAAAATCAAAACTTGCTCCTCCTAACTGGGAAAGCAAAAGCATGATGCTCATGTGAATTTTATGAAAGAAGAAACATATTTTTCCTACCTATTTTTACAAAACTGCAATAAAGTTAAAAAAAAGGAAAGAAAATCAAACAATGAAGGCCATAGTGTCAGACTTGAATTATGACTATTTACCTCCTTTTACCCCTCACCAAATTCTCAAATTTTATAAGAATAAAATAGATTGATTTTTCAGTTTTACTCTTTCTCCTTCATTTGTAAACTTTACAAAAGAATAGTTAATGAGCAGTGAAATGAATGCAAGAGGGAAAAAAGAAAGAGGGAGAGAGGTAACTGTAGTATGTAAGAACAAGATGAATTTCAAAGACCCGTGTTCAGGGCTGGGGTTGTGGCTCAGTGATAGAGTGCTTGTCCAGCATGCTTGAAGCACTGAGTTTGATCCTTAGCACCACCTAAACATAAAATAAAGATGTTGTGTCCTCTTAAAACTAAAAAATAAATACTAAAAAAAAAATGGGAATAATAACTACTTGGGAAAAAAATAACTACTTGGAAAAAATGTGGTAAGAACTAAACTAGATCGCACCTAAATGCTCTTAAGACAAAGAGTGTAGTGTATTTTGAAGATATCACATGCAAGTGGTAGAAAATGCAACAGACAGAAAAAAGTTTACAGGGCAAGGGTAAATCTCTCCATTCTTACTCTCTGTCCCCTCAATTCTCCTCAGAGTCAACTACTGATACTATTTGTTGTGTACTATTCCAGAAAAAGTCTATGCTGAGAGTACACAGAACTGTGCACTTCTTTCTGTAACTTAGATATGTGAACTTTAGTATGCAACCCAATTTCCTAATCTGTAAATTAGAGTGATTCTGAGCATGAAATAATTAGTACCTTATAATTAAATGCTACACAGATTATGATTCATGGAAGCAGAAGCGAGGCTTAAACAAAATTGTACTGCTATTGAGAACCAAGGCATCTTGGACTATTAGAATCAGCCCCAAGCTTGGCCACTTAGTGCCACTGGAAGTATTCCCTTTCTTCATCTTGACATCAGCAGGGGAGGAACACTGAGAACCACATTGCTTGACTCTGCCTCCATCTTTCCCACAGGTGATCACTTACTCCAGTCGTCATGTCTACAATAACTTAACTGAGGAACAGAAGGGCCGAGTGGCATTTGCTTCCAATTTCCTGGCAGGAGATGCTTCTCTGCAAATCGAGCCTCTAAAACCCAGTGATGAGGGCAGGTATACCTGCAAGGTGAAGAATTCAGGGCGTTATGTGTGGAGCCACGTCATCTTAAAAGTCTTAGGTAAGGCAGAGTGCCAAGGTACATGTCATATCTTAATAAGATCTCTGTGAGGGATAGGCAAATAAGTCATGGTGGTGCAAAACTTTGTGTTCAGCACTTTGTGTTATACGCTTAGAGGTCACCTAGTCTAGCTCCCTGCAAAGAAGCATTTATGTTCTGTATTTCAGCCATATTTTCCATGATAGCCCATTACAAAATTTAAATAGCCTCTAGTGTATGTATTTTTTTGCGGGGGTGCGGGGGTAGTGCTGGGGATTTAACCCAGGGCCTTGCAGGCACTCAACCACTGAGAAACATCTCCAGCTCCCTTATAGTTATCTTAAATCTCTCAGAGATGATTCAAATTTATTGTTGTTGCTATTATTATTATTATTATTATTTTGGTACTGGGCATTGAACCCAGGGGCATCTTACCACTGAGCTACATCCCCAGCCCTTTTTAATTTTTGAATTTTGGGACAGGGTCTCACCAAGTTTCTGAGGCTGGTTTTGAACTTGCAATCTTCCTGACTCAGCCTCCCAAGTTACTGGGATTACCATGGCACCCACCTTATTTTTTGATAGCAAAACCTACTAAGTTCTACTTAATTACCTCCAATTTAATGATTTTCTATCCCTATTTTAGTATCAATAAAATCACACTTAACTTTCCTAAAATTTCCTAAAAAAACAATTTCTCTTCTTTGAAAAGTATGTAGCTGGGCTGGGGATGTGGCTCAAGTGGTATCGTGCTCGCCTGGCATGCGTGCGGCCCGGGTTCGATCCTCAGCACCACATACCAACAAAGATGTTGTGTCCACTGAAAACTAAAAAATATTTAAAAATTCTCTTAAAAAAAAAAAGAAAAGAAAAGTATGTAGTTGTTTCTGAGGTAACCCCTAAAAATTACAATAGCACCACTAGTAGCAGCTTAAACTGTTTGTGGCAGAGGGTGAATAAAGTGGGTTGAACTCACAGGGTAATATAACCCATGCCTAGTTGAATCCCAACTCAAAGGTCAACCATAAGGTATAGCTGGAGAAACAGCTCAATTGAACATAGTTTTTCCTTTGATGTGGTGTTTAGAGAATCTTTGAATCATTACACCTTTTTTCTCTTTTTTGGGCAGTGAGACCATCCAAGCCCAAGTGTGAGTTGGAAGGAGACCTGACAGAAGGAAGTGATCTGACTCTGCAATGTGAGTCATCCTCTGGCACAAAGCCCATTGTGTATTACTGGCAGCGAATCCCGGAGAAAGAGGGAGAGGATGAACATTTGCCTCCCAAATCCAGGATTGGTAAGTCATCTTTCTACCAGTCTACTGTGCCAATAAGATAGAACTGTGTCCATGAATTCTAAATCTGCTTTGTCAGCAACTCACTATATGACCTTGAGGACATTGTGGAACCTCTTGAAAATGGAATTTTTTTATCCATAAACTAGGACAGAAAATCTTTCTTCAAATGCCATATAAAAGTGGTAAAAGAGATTAGGAAAAAATATTACAGATATCTACCATATCTAATTGTCTTGTTTAGTATTCCATAAAGATCCACAATCTTTTTTTTTTTTTTTTTTTTTTTTGGTACTAGGTATTGAACTCAGGGGCACTTGACCACTGAGCCACATACCCAGCCCTATTTTGTATTTTATTTAGAGGCAGGGGCTTACTGAGTTGCTAGGCACCTTAGCATTGCTGAGGCTGGCTTTGAACTCAAGATCCTCCCACCTCAGCCTCCCAAGCTGGTGGGGTTACAGGGATACACCACTATACCTGGCAAGATCCACAATCTTTTCTAACTTTTGAAGATGTACTACAATTGAAAAGAATATTTACCTGTTTTCCCATGCTAAAAAATGAATCTGTTCTATTCATTCTTATCAAACTACAATACAGAATCTTAGGTCAACAATGTCCTATATTGTCAAAAATAAATAAAGAATTCTGTCACTAAGGCAGCTTAATGTCATTCTTTCTGCTTGTATAGACTACAACAATCCTGGCAGAGTTCTGTTGCAGAATCTCACCATGTCTTCTTCTGGGCTCTACCAGTGCACAGCAGGCAATGAGGCTGGGAAGGAAAGCTGTGTGGTTCGAGTGACTGTACAGTGTAAGTATCCAAAGGATTTTTTTGTTTTATTTTTGCATTGTGGTTCCATGTAAGACATTTTAATCATGAGCAAGAGTAGGGTCAAGGTCAAAGTCTTTATTTCCAGAAGGATATGGCAATTACCAAAATAAATTTGGCAGTTGCAGGGACCATTCAACAATTGTGTCTGACTCTTTTTGCCCTCTAATGAAATGTAGGCTGGGATATAGCTTAGTGGTAGAGCACTTGCTTAGCATGCATGAGGCCTTGTGTTCAATCAATCCCCAGCACCAGAAAAAAAAAAAAAATACTTCAGCCAGGTGCAGTGGCACACTCTTGTAATCCTAGCAGCTCTTGAGGCTGAGGCAGGAAGATCACAAGTTCAAGACCAGCCTCAGCATCTTAGTGAGGCCCTATGCAACTTAATGAGAACCTGTCTTAAAAAATAAAAAGGGCTGAGGATGGAGCTCAGAGTGTTGGGTAAAGCACCTCTGGGTTCAATCCCAGTACCCACCCACCCCCACCCAAAAAAAGACTACTTATGTAAATGAGGAAGCTAGTAAAATATTTAAAGAGCATTTAAGAAGGGATAGAAACAATTTAACAAAGAAAATGAAGATTGCTGAATTAGGCATTGGACTGGTTAATATTCTACAAAATCACAGACCATAATTTCTGGGGTCACTTGTTTAACTGGTACCAGCAATCATTTCTGACTTTATTGAACAGAGATTTACCAATTGCCCCTCTACCTAGAAGTACATTATCAATCATTGTACTTCTTATGTCTGTTTTCAAGTTTCAGGTTATTTTTTCTCACAGATTTAACAGGCACTTCACAGAAAAAGAAATACTGTTAACTGTGTTTTATATCAATAAAATAAGAGGACCTCTCCAAAACCCCACACTTTTTATTTTGTATATTTACTTTGGGGCTGGGATTCACCCAGGAGCACTTTACCATTATGCTACATTCCTAGTCTTTTTATTTTTTTAAATATTTTTTTTAGTTGTCAATGGGGTCTTTATATATTTATATTTATATATTTATATGTGGTGCTGAGAATCGGACCCAGTACCTCACACATGCTAGGTAAGTGCTGTGCAACTGAGCCACAATCCCAGCCCAAGCCTTTTTATTTTTTGAGACAGGGTCTCATTAGTTTGCTTAGGACCTAAGGCTGGTCTCGGACTTGTGATCCTCCTGTCTCAGCTTCCCCAGCTGCTGGGTTTACCATGCCCAACTTACTCTTTTTAAAGTTTTAAGCCCTCGTCTTAGTAAATTTAAAAATAAATGTAGTGTCAATTATAAGAAAGATTATGAGGAAATAGGAGTTTTTACATTTTTTATCAGAATGTAATCTAATAGCATCATTTAGTTTAATCTACAGACTTTGGGGTAGTAAAAATAGTGAAGTAAAATATATCAAATACATAAATCCTAAATGTACATTTTGATAGACTTTCAAAAGTAAATATACCTATATAACCAGTGTTAGGTCAGTGGAGGCGACTTGGTGGGGACTTAGTGGCAACTTAGAACAACGCAGCCTGCGCCGAAAAAGAACATCAATTAGATGTCGGCGGAAACGCCTGTCAATTAGCGAGATCTCCTAACTAACGCCTGTCAATCAACAGGACCCCCCTGGCCAATCCTGGAGTTCAGCCAACTCCCCTGACCAACTCCAAGGGGGCAAGGGACTCTAAGAACACCTTTTCCTGTCCCAAGCCCTTCCCTTCCAGCTGTAAGTCCCATAAAAGTCCAGTCTGGTCAAGCTTCCACGCGGTTTCTCCTCAGTCCCATCCCCTGTCCCCTCTGTGGGTCTGATCGAGTTCCGACGGGGAGTGATATCTCAATAAAGCCTCCCCCACCTGATCTGACAACCAGTATCATGATTATGGACTCATCACAGTTTCTTCTACCATTCCATTACCCAGATTACTAACTTTATCCATTACTAATACTTTATTCTAAAATTACTTTAATAGGGATACTTTTACTTTACTTTAAAGAAATGAAATTATTCCATTTATGTTCAGCTTCTTTTTTGGGGGCGGCAAGTACCAGGGATTGAAGTCAGGGTACTCTACTACTGAGCCACATCCCCAATGCTAGTTTGTATTTTATTTAGAGACAGGGTCTCACTGAGTTGCTTAGCTCCTAACTTTTGCTTCTGACTTTGAATTCATGATACTCCTGCTTTAGCTTCCCCAGTCACTGGGATTACAATTGTGTGCCACCACACCTGGCCATTTTATAGTATTCCATTGTATGAGTATACAACAATTAGTGGCCTATTTTACTTTAGATGGAAAAGTTTTATCCAGCAATACTTATGTAAATTTTTCCTTCAGAGATATTCCATAAGTGTGCAAATACATATGAGAAAGAATAATATATTTTGAATTGTGACAACGTGAAAGCAATCCAAATTTCTAGTAACAGAAAATTCATCTTGATTATATGTGTGTTGGGGGTGTAGTAGCAGGGAAAACACATTCCTTAAGTTGATATTACCCAGATAAAATAAATCTAGCACTTTGAGAAGTTAAATAAAAGATATCTAAAGTTCAACTTTTTCAAAAAGTCAATTTTTAAGTAAAGAGGTCATTTCGTTTATAAAGATATTAGAAAAAAATAAAGATAGCAGGACAAGAATAACCAGAATAACTTTCTATTGAGTATACTTTTAAAATATAGGTAATATTCATCTACCTGCTTTTGAATACATTACTCCTGCCCAACCCAACCCACCACGATCTCTAACCTGCCTTAATATAAGCATGCTAATTTGTGTCACTGCTTCCCCTTTCTTCTTCATGATCCATTTTTCCTATAATAGCCATGGAATACTTTCTCAGATGTAACTTGGATCATGTTACTAATCTACAGCTCTTAAGGCATATAAGGCCCTGTATGAGTTGGTCCCAAGTATTTTGATAGGAATACTATTATCCCATCTCTGACCTCACGTAACCTCAGCCCCCTACTCTATATCTTTCTTACTATGCCCCAAACCCATACATATTCATTGCACTTGCTACTCCTTCTGTCCTAGATAATCAGAAGAAACAGCCTCTTCTATAATTTTTTTATAAATATCTTTTTTAGTTGTAGGTGGACACAATACCTTTATTTATTTATGTGGTGCTGAGGATCGAACTCAGCGACTCATACATGCAAGGCAAGCACTCTACCACTGAGCTACAACCCCAGCCCTTCTATCATTTTTTATCTCAACTCAAAATATCACTTCTTCAGAGTCCCAATGACCCAAACTCAAGTGGTATCCCCTCATTCTCTAAGTGATCACTCAATACATTTTTACTTTCACAGTACGTAAATATTATCTGAAATTGTTTTTATGTACTTATTATCTATTTTCCCCCTTCTGGAATATAAACTCAAAAAAAAAAAAAAGCAAAAATCCTTGTCTATCTTCACAAATGCCTAAAACTGTGCCTGGTTTGGCACTTAATAAACACCTAAAACTGTGCCTGGTAAGCACTTAATAAATATTTAGTGTATGGATACAAGAGTGTGTGAGTTACTAATGTGCAAAATCACATTCACTTTGATTTCTAAATTTCTTTTCTTTTTTTCTTTCTTTTTTTGGTACCAGGGATTGAACCCAGTGGCACTTAACCATTTAGCCACATCTTTGGCCTTTTTTGGATTTTATTTAGAGACAAAGTTTCATTGAGTTGCTTAGGGTCTTGCTAAATTGCTGAGGCTGGCTTTGAACTCACGATCCTCCTGTCTCAGCCTCCCAAACCACTGGGATTACAGGTGGGCGCCACTGCACCCAGTCTGATTTCTAAATTTCTAGGATCCACTGTAATTCCCACATGGAGTCTAACATTATTGGCTATACTCTTTTTTATTTTACTGTTGGAAGAAGAGGGAAGTTAGAGAAAGCAGAGTGATAGAGCCACAGGATTGCCTAAATGATGATATTATTAAGGCTGACAAATATTCAGATCTAATACAGTAACTATCCTAGCCCAGTTTATCATCTGAACTAACACAGACTTATTCAATAAAATCTAGGCCAATTGCTAGTGAAGTCTGTGATTCAATATTTACAACTGCAAAAATATCAAGAGGGACAGTCATGTAACACAAGAGGATAATGGGGTGCTATTCTGGAAGTCAGATATAAATGAAATATATAAATGGAAGTCAGCAACTCAGCAAGGCCCTCTCTCTAAATAAAATTTAAAACTGAGGATGTGGCTCAATGGTAAAGCACCCTGGGTTCAATCCCTGGTACCTTTGGTGTGTGACACTGCACCCAGCTAGGGCTTTTTTTTTTTTTTTTTTTTAAAGTTCCTGTATTTCCTAGCTTATGTTAGGTTTTACTTGTGCTTCTGCTTCTGAGAAAACAGATGTACAAAGCATCGGCATGGTTGCAGGAGCAGTGACAGGTATTGTGGCTGGAGCCCTGCTGATTTTCCTCTTGGTGTGGCTGTTAATCCGAAGGAAAGACAAAGAGAGATATGAGGAAGAAGAGAGACCAAATGAAATTCGGTAAGCTTCCCAAGTTCCACTTCCACCAACTTTTATTTCTAGGGCCAGTTCCTTAGTAACTAGTCAAAATAAATATTCCCAGTTTCTTCTGAATCATGACTTTGTTAAAATGATTATTCTGTTAAGGAAAGAAGTTGTGGTCTAGGACAGGTCTGGTTTACCTGGACTTTATTGTGAAACTATACTCAACAGAGATATAAAAGTTCAACTTTCCATTACTTCTGATTCATTTCCATGTTCAAAGGGCATACAATAAAGGCTGGGCCTACAGGCCATGAAAGGGTTCACATACACAAACTCTATGTCAGGGTAAATGCTATAGAAATCATTTCATGTGGAGACATCCTCCCAGTGTAATAGGATGGATCTCTGGGCCAAAAACCAAACCTTTGCCGAGCACTAAGTCTTAAGAAATGAGGAAGTGCTTTGTTCCCTAAATGGCTGCCTTCTGATGGTATTGTTTGAGGTTTAAAACTTGAGGAACTTATTGGGAAACCTCAGGAGGACATAACGATGGTGGAAGCAATGCCAGTACTAAAGTTTATCTTTGCTGTTTTTTCTCTTCAGAGAAGATGCTGAAGCCCCCAAAGCCCGGCTTGTGAAACCTAGCTCCTCTTCCTCAGGCTCTCGGAGCTCACGCTCCGGTTCTTCTTCCACTCGCTCCACAGCAAATAGTGCCTCACGCAGCCAGCGGACACTGTCAACTGAAGCAGCACCCCAGCCTGGGCTGGCCACCCAGGCATACAGCCTAGTGGGGCCTGAAGTGAGAGGCTCTGAACCAAAGAAAGTTCATCATGCCACCCTGACCAAAGCAGAAAACACACCCAGCATGATCCCCAGCCAGAGCAGAGCCTTCCAAACTGTCTGAATTACAGTGGACTTGACTCCCATGCTTTCCTAGGAGTCAGGATCTTAGGACTCTTCTAGTCATTGGAGTTCAGTCACCAGCCACACAACCCACTCAAATTAGATAAGAGGTCATTTAAGTACCAGTGAACATCACATGGAACAGATTCAGATGAGCACTTTACTTATACACCACCAAATGAGCAAAAGGATGTAAGCTGATCATCTCCAAAAAGGCACCTATTGACCTTTAGACCAGAGTTGGGGGGCAGAGGGAACTAGGAATACAAATCTGTCTATTGACCAGGACCTGTGGGGAGGAGGTTGGGGAAAAGTGAAGTGAATGCTCCTAAAACTACTCACCAGGGATGGTTTGTATCAATACTTCAATTCACTATTGTCAAGAAGAAATGAGGTGTTTTTCATAAATTTTCTATGCATTTCTGCAAACCTACTGGATTATTGTGATTATTCAGATAGTCTAACAGAACCCACAGCCTTATATTAAACCAATCTGTACCATGTATGGGACTAACTATTCCCAAGAAACTCCAAAAAAAGGAAACATGTCTCTTCTGTTCAACTTACTTTCATATGTCATAAGTTTGGATATTAATTTCAGAAGTAGTTGAAATCGTTGTAGTGAGAGATGGAGAAGAGTGATTGTGTTTCTCCTACTCTTATCTATTGCTATTAATTTTCTTTACACTGAACCCCAAACTAAGAACTAAAAAAGGAGTCCAAAATGTGTGACAAGGGCCTATGGAAAGCTTACCATATTGAGGTTCAGAGGATTGCTGACAAATATCAGAAATATATACTGGAGCAATTCTGAGTTTTTCCCTCAAATCAGATGCCTCTAAGGACTACCCTGCTGGATATCTCCAGAAGATGCAAATATTCATTACAGGTTATTTAACAATGTCCTTAGCAAGAAGTTCTCTAGAGAAAATGATCCAGAGATGTTGAATTTGACATACTATTATAGTTTCTTTGGAGAATATGTGAAACCAGAATTTCAAGACTGACTGGTCTACAAAGAGAGATTAGACCAGTTTTCTCTTAATATGCCAGGAAGTGATATAAAGAAGTTTAGTATTGCACCAAACTTGGAGCTTCCTCTATTTCTTTCATTTTAGAAGGATGTGAATCTGGGACTTTTGATGATTCTAGGCCTTAAATTATCAAAAAGATCGGATTGTCAACATTTCCTTATGGCTTTGCAAATGTATGTCATAATCATTCCCTCATGAGAGGCCAAAGCAGAGAGAAATTCAGTATTTTCTCAGTTTCAGCTTCCATAGAAGCCTAGCTCTGGGTTGGAAGAAAAGGGAACTAACACATAGGGAAAATAGTGAGAATAACTAGTGCCTGTTAACATTTCAGTTGTCAGCATCTTGGAAAGAATTAGCAGAAAGGATTCACCAGGAAAGCCATTGAAATAGTTGGTGCATGGAAGAAGAAAGGTTATCTGACAAATATAAAGTAGTAGCCTCCAATATAATAAAATGTCTTTTTAATTGTTTTGACTATTAGGATACCTGTCTGGGACAGGTGATCCTGAAATAGCCATTCAAAGAACCTAACACAATGTCCACTGTTCACCATTGGTAGAGCTGGAGTAGTAGGCCAGAAGAAAGAAAAAATAATGCTAAGTATGGTGATGAAAGCATTGTCTCTAAAATAGCAATCAGATGCTTCCAAAAGACAAGACCACCTGGGATTTTGTCCATTCTCTAGTTTCACCTTTTTTTTTTTCTTTCCTCCAGTACTAGCAATTGACTCCAGGGACAATCTACCATTGACCTACATCCCCAGCCCCTTTTAAAAATTATTATTATTTTTTTTGAGACAGGATTTCACTGAGCTGCCCAGGCCTTGAATTTGCAATCCTCCTGCCTGAGCCTCCCCAATAGTTGGGATTACAGGTGTGCACCATTGTACCTGGCTCCTCTGGTTTTTCATTCATTATTTAATTTCACAGTAGTGTTCTCCCATAGTATAAATGCATTTCCTTATAAAGTTCCTAGGAGTTGATTCTTAGGTTAAGTTTTTGTTGGTGCTAGGGATCTAATTTAGGGTCTCGAACATGCTAAGTAGGAAGTCTTAACCTGAGTTTTGTCTTCCTCAAAAAAAGATAGAAATGAGAAACTTAAGAAGAAACATAAAAATGCCTGCTGTAAGTTTAAGAGAACTGGCATAGTTGGAATACTTCTACATTTTTTTTTTTTTTTGTGGAGATTGAACCCTGGGCCTTGTGCATGCAAGGCAAGCACTCTACTAACTGAGCTATATCCCCAGCCCCCTTCTACTGCCTCTTATCTCATTGTAAGATATAAAAAATCCTTTACTCTGAATACCTCCCCCTCCCTTTTTTCTTTTCTTGAAGGGTGGTATCCTGGCAACATCTCTTCTGCTATGTAATTCTGAGAATTCTTATTCCTAGAGTACCTGAGCCAAACAAGTACACTGTGGAGGCTGCAGCTGTGTCATCACTAGCAATTTGCTCTCATTATTGACTACCTTTGAACCTAAAGCTTCCTGCCTGTGTCACTGAAAGCAGGAATCAATTCCCTTTGCATGAAAAGGTTTAAATCACTTAAACAATGTTTGTTTTCAGAAGGCTAAAATACCACTGAATATCCAGTTTTTTTTTTTTAAATCTATTCACAATGGAAATCTACAACAAATACACAAAAGAGAGTATACAGAGTTAGAGATTCTAGGGAATCAAAGATCTAGGGATTCTAGGGAATCTAGGGATTCTAGGGAATCTTTGATTCTAGGGAATCAAAGAGAAAAGGTGCTGAAGTCTTGCAATGCTTCTCTTTTGAGTCCAGCATTTGGGTTCAGATAATATAGGCTCTGGGCTTGGGATAAAGTTAGAACCACTACTGGTTCTAAACCATATTCCATTGACTTTGCAAATCAAATAAATTGATTCTTAAATATGAAAACAAAAACAGGATAAAATAACTAAATGGTAGAAATAAATGTTGTACAAAGAAAACACAGATGGAATGATGTGGATGTTTAGAGAATAACCATTTCTATAAAATATGTAAACCAAACTTTAATTTGTAAGATAATGAATTGATGTCTTTGTTGTTACATTGTATAAAAACAGTTTCAGAATGACTGCTCCAAAAAGACATATATAATTTTGCTTCTTTTCTGGTGTTAAGCTGTTTGTTTCAATTTTAATTTCTAAATTGCCTTGTAATTGGATTGTTTGAGCATCATAAAAACCAAATATTTATTATAGATGCATCTGTATCAGCAATTAAAAAATAAATAAGTAAAAGTGATGCTGTAGGAAAGGCTGAAGCTCATATAACCAGCCCTGGAAATTTGTTTATCAGCTTGCTGCCAACAGAACAGAAGAACTCAGACTGAATATGGTCTATTATTTATTGATTTCAGTCACAAATACATCAAGTACTTTTTCTCACAAGGAAGTAGTACAGAGGATTCCAAGAGATATCAGAATTGCTTTATTAAAAATCAATAAGCAAAACTTAATAAACAAGTAATTTTATAAATTAGAGACTGAACCCAGGGGCGCTTTGCCACTGTATATCCTCAGTATTTTTTGGAGACTAAGTTGTTGAGAGTCTCTGTAAAATGCTGAGGCTGACCTCAACCTTGCAATTTCCTCCCTTAGCCTCCTGAGTTGCTGGGATTACAAGTGTGCATCACTGCACCAAAACCACAAAACAAGTATTTTGTGGCAAGGTAACATATTAACAAGTAACACTAAGAAATTAAAATAAACCTGAAAAGAGAAGTATATACAAAGATGTTCACAAAAATCTGAAAACAAACTTCAGAGTGTAAGCCCAAAATGATGGTGCAGACCTCAACAGATTCAGGGAAGTTGCTTGTTCTTTGGGGACTCTAGGGACCCATTTTCTGGTGAAAATGGCCATCGTTTACAGAAGGGGTTTTGGTTTTATAGGGTACAATTAGGATAGTTTCATCATTGGAACTTGTGGGTGTACCATTAGGAAAGTCAAAGGCTAGTTAAGTAGGTTAAAAATTTTAACTCTGAAGGGCAGCTATAAAAGGTTGAGATTCATTGTTACTTGGAGAGATCGGTGATTAATCGCCTCCTTCCTTCAGGGCCCATAGTTCAGTATTTACTGTGTGTCCTTTTAGGACTAATTTGCAATGGGGGGAGGTCTAAGTCCAGAGCCCAACATTCAGTATTTGCCTCCTTCCTTCAAGGCCCATTGGTAAAGGATTTACTGGAAGGTTAATGCTTGGCTAGTTTCCCCTCCCTCCTCCCAAGCTGCATTATCTCTCTGCTTTTCTTTGGGGCTGTTTTGTAGGATTATTATTTTTCATAACTCTTCATAGAGGTCCATCAATAAAATAATAGCAATAATAGTAATTATCACATATTAAAACAAATTTTTTTTTTTTTTTTTTTTTTTTACTATGGATTGAACCCCAGGTTTGCTTGACCCCTGAGCTACATCCTCAGCCCTTTTAAATTTTAGTCAGGGTTTTGCTAAATTGCTGAGGCTGCTTCCTGAGTTGCTGGGAAGACAGGTAAGCACCACCATGTCTGCTCATGAACTGAGAAATTTTCATGTGTCAGAAACCATACTAAGTATATTACATATTTTTTTCTCAATTTCAAACTCACTTCGGCCCTATGAGAAGATGTTTGCATTATTATCTCATAAAGGAGAAAACCAAGGCTTGGAGAGGTTAAGTCAGTAGTAGAAAGCTAGGATTTAAACCCAGTCATTATGTTAGTATGTTCCATCAGAACTGTAAGATCCTGATTAATGACCATTCTGGTTCCTGAAATCCTCACATCTTTATCCTCAGCTATGAGTTTTCCCTTCCCTTTGCTTTCTTTCTTGCCATAAAGCTTTTCACCATATATGGGACATAGATAGCTCATTTACACAGTAATTCCAAATTGTTTAAAGAATTGTCTTTTTGCAAATTAGGACAAAGTTTTCAACTTTATAATTGTACATGATGTTTTTATATGATAAAATAATAATGGGCTTAGATCATATAATGCATAATAATACTTGTTAAATGTTAAGTACAGGATGCTGAATACAGCAAGGTTAAGAATTTTGTCAGGTTTTCTGAGAGGCAAAAAGACAAGCTGCATTAAGAGGCCACATTGGGCTGGGGATGTGGCTCAAGCGGTAGCGCGCTCATCTGGCATGCGTGCGGCCCGGGTTCGATCCTCAGCACCACATACAAACAAAGATGTTGTGTCCGCCAAAAACTAAAAAATAAATATTAAAACATTCTCTCTCTCTCTCTCTCTCTCTAAAAAAAAAAAAAAAAGAGCTAGAGCCTTCATTTAAAAAAAAAAAAAAGAGGCGACATTAATAGAGTTAATTTTCCAAAGATAATAAAGGCATGTCAATTTAACAAATATTTAGAATTTAAATACTTCAGGGACCCCATACTTAAAGCAATCACATTTACAATTCTTTAGGGCAGATTTTTCCTCCCCTTTCCCTCCCCAGTACTGAGGATTGAACCCAGAGCTGCTCTACCATGGACCTACATCCCCAGCAATTTTTTATTTTTTGAGACAGGGTCTTGCTAAGGTGTCCAGGCTAGTCTTGAACTTGAGACCCTCCTCTCTTAGCCTCTTGAATAGTGGGGATTACATGTCCAGCTATTCCCTCTTGTTTTCTATTTTATTTTTTTGTCATGCTGGAGATTGAATCCAGGGCCTTTCATGTTAGGCAAGAACTCTACTACTGATCTACATCCCAGCCCTCTTGTTTTTGTATGTCTCATTTTTCTCATCATTCTTGAATAGAAAAGTTATAAAAAATGAAAACTCAATTAGTTTTGCTACTTATAAGCAGAGCTGTTGAATGTTTCAATTAATAAAACAATAAAGTGCACTAATTAAAATATAATTTATATAGTTCCTCCTCTTTACAGTGCAGTGGTTACACAAGATATTTTAAAAGGAGTTTAAATTTAATAAAGTAGAAAATAATCTAGCCTAAGAGTTAAGAGTATAAGCTTTGGAATAAAACAAATTTGATTTTGAAAAATTCAGATTTAGGTAGAAAAATTATCTGATCTATATGGGCCTCAATTCCTTTATTTAAAATGGAGATAATGTGGGGCTGGGGATATACCTCAGTTGGCAAAGTGCTTGCTTCATATGCACAAGGCCCTGGGTTCAATCCCCAGCACCCCCCACGGAAAAAAAAATGGAGATAATAAAACCTGCCTAAAATAGTTGTTGTGAGGTTTGCATGCATGCTGTACATAAGCATGTAATAAAACAGAAATGGCAGCTGGGTGCTATAGCACATGTCTGTAATTCCAGCAACTCAGGAGGCTAAGGGAGGAGAATCACACATTTAAGGTCAGCCTCTGAAATTTAGTGAGACTGTAATAAATAAATAAGTAGGTCTGGAGATGTAGCCCAGAGCGATCCTTAGTACCCCCCCCCAAAAAAAAAAGCAAAAACAGCAATGGCAAGGATTCTACTGCCTGTAAAACACCGCACAAGGCATGAAAGTGTTGTAAGGCATATCTTGTTAGGGAGGCAAGACATAAGATGGAAAAAGGTATCAGGGATACTTATATGTATCCTATTCTCCAAAACACTAATTTATACCTGACTATAGTCAGAAAGTCAAAATATTAATAACAGCTTGACTTATCCTAGTTTCAAATTTCCTTGATGAAATGCCATAAATACACTCACGTCTCTGGGCATACACTGCATCTTTTAGTTGTGTCACAGGATTCAAGAATGGTTTTTGTTTTGCTTCACTATTGGGGCACTCTACCATTGAGCTAATTCCTAGTCTTTTTTATTTTGAGAAAGAACCTGGCTAAGTCCTGATGCTGGCTTTAATTGTTGATGGACCTTTATTTTATTCATTTATTTATATGTAGTGCTGAGAATTGAACTCAGTGCCGCACACATGTGAGGCAAGTGTTGTACCACTGAGCCACAACCCCAGCCTGAGGCCCCTGTCTTAAATTAAATGAGCTGGGGATATAGCTCAGTGGTTAAGCACCCACTACCTTCACTCTCCCATACCCAAAAAAAGATTCACTTTTTTTTTTTTTTTTTTTGGTATTGGATTGGACAGAGGTTCTTAACATTTTATAGGGTCTTGGCTATCTTTGAGAATTTGATAAAAGTCTTTGGATTCTCTGATGTTTACAGCATTAAAAATCCCAAGAGAAAAGGGAGAGAACTAAAATATCAGGCAAAGGATAAGAAAAATTTTACATGTTATAATTTTATCCAATCCTTACAACTCTGAAAGGATTGTTTTGTAAGCTGAAATTACCTCTACACAAGAAAATGGCTTGAATTAGAATTCAGTCCTGATTACTATTCCATACTGCTCATTTACTAAGAACATAGTCAAGTCCTAGAACATATTTTAAGAGACTAGAAAAGGGTTATTTGTTCTGCTTTTTTTTTCAGTGATGGGGATCACCAGGTCCAGGGCGTTGCACATGCTAAGCAAGTACTCTAAAGCTGAATTATACCCCCAGCCCTGTTTTGCTTTTTAAAACCACTGCTATTGGGTGGGATCCCTCCCCCAAACCAGTGGATTTGGGTCCCAGCTCTATTTTCCACTAGTTCAATTATTTAAATAGATAAACTTTGGAATTGAGACTTCCCACTCTAGAGCATGA